GTAGGTTAGTGGTGTATCCTTTTAGCAGTGTGTAGTAAAAGCTGATTCTTAGGTCAACAGTATATTGGTCTACTTTCATAAATCCACAAAATATAAATTAAAGGAATAAGTTTCCAAAGTTCTACTTGAAGGAATGATTCTGCGAATGTGCGTTCTTAACACAAATTTAGTTTTTTTCTGTGTAAATGAAAGAATTCTTCCTATCTTAGACCTCATGTATCCCTGATCCTGAAACTTTGATGTACAGTGGCAGGAATCTTGCCATGCTTTGGAGCCCCCATGGGACTTCTCACTGTGCTGATCTCTGTTCCCTCCCCCTAAGCTGTTTTGGGATCATGGTGTTCTGTACTGGGGTAAGACCCTTGTTTTGGAAATGAATGGTTTTTAAAAATAGTAAGTTCTTCAGGTATGGATAGTGTCACTTAGATTAGTGTCAGTTTGAGTGTACTAATGATATCTTGTTCAAATCTGTGTAATTTGTAGTATGAAGATCACAGTATCTTTGAAATACAAAGGAAATACATGCCTTGCTGCTTCTTGCATAAATTAGTAGCCTTTGCCACCTCCTCTTAATATGTTGAAGTTGGCTGGAGTGCTTGTCAACCCAAATCTATGAACGCTGTCAGCATGCATTGATTTAAAAAATGCTTAATTGTATTTCATACCTCTGGTTTAACGTCAAGGTTTTTTCTGTTTAAAATGACAACTTAACTTGATATTGTTCTGTTTCAGACATCCTTAGCCACACGTTTTGCCCAAGAAACATTTGGAAAACAGTACAAACAAACCATAGGACTGGACTTCTTCTTGAAAAGGATAATATTGCCAGGTAAGAGACTAAAAACTAACACTGGAAGGTTGGGCAGCAGTAAGACTTGCAGAAACAGATTCTTCAAAGTAACATATACTAAATAAGCTTAGTACAGTGCTTTTTGTGGCAAAGTAAGGTAGATTATTCAGAGCAAACTTTGTTTTTATGTTCTCGCCAGGTAACAAAGGATTATGCATTTGCAACCTATATCTTTAAGTAGAACACAGAATTCAAGTGAAAGGAATGCTATCTATTTTCAGGATTTTTATTATCTCTACTTGAGTGTACTCGCTGTTGTTCATGTGGGTAGTGTAACATACAACAATGAAATGTAACTTTAAGTATATTCATTGAGAAAATAAGGATGTTTTGAAAGAAATAGATTTTATTTTTTTAATGAAATATACAACTTGTATTTGAGTTGTGTGAGAGGAGGATAATGCAGCTATGGAATCGCAGTGCTCTAATATGTGAATGCTGTTTTATGCAAGGCAGCATGAAATTGCTGGCATTTAATAGACCACTAAAATTTAGGGTCCCTCGGCACTCATAAAAATACAGTTTGAGCATTCAAGATGTTTCACTTCACGATGGCAAAGAAACTATTTAGATGCCAGTTGCAGCACACTGCATGGAAAATGCAAAGAAATAATTAAAAAAGAATAGTTGCTGATAGTTTGTGTCCCAGCAGCTGGGGGCTAGAAATAAGTGTTTTCATTGATTTGTGGTTGCTCAGTTTCTAAGTATGAAAGTATTTCATTAAATGCATTTTCTTCAGGCATCAGAAATCAGAAGATATTAGAAAAAGTGTGTGTAAGTATTAGAAGTTGTAGTGAGATTTGATAAAGTTGATGCAAGTTCTGTAGCTCTGTCTTTTTTTTCCTTGGGGGTGGGGGGGCGGTGAGGGAAGCAAACCCAGAAATAAAGCATTTTAGCTATGACCTGAAGTTATAGAGAAATATATACAGTTCTTGAACTTATTTTAATAAAATTATATTGCCTATAATTTCTTGATTGTGTTTATATATTTTCTTAAGTGAAACAGAATAATATTTTTAGTCTATTCCTGCATTCACTATTTTGATTTGGCCATTTTGCTGTACTTTTTTTATTATCTGGTGAGTGATAAAGTACCAAATTTCAGTGCTTATTTCTCCATAAAATCAACAGAGTAATTTTTTTATTGTCCTACTCATGCCTCTAAAATTACCAGTGTGCATAATACTTAACAGCAGTACTTGCAAGTGGAATATGTACACAAATCATGCAGTGTGCATGCTGAGAACTTGTATTTTGCAAGTTTTTTTCCAGCTGTTAAGCGTACAGAAGCTAATAGTACATTACTGGGGTTCTAAATATTCTTGTTGAGTAGAAAATTTGGAAAATTATCAGCTATCGATTCATTCATGTTTTGCGTTCTTCTAGTTTATTTTATGATAAAATCAGATGTAGATGAAAATAGCACCAAACCAGCAACAAAGTCTGTACATCTATTTTCCTCATTTATCATTAGAAAATAGTAGCATTCATGGAATGTATTCATATTCAGGAAGAAGCATTTTTCTGTAGATTGTCATTCTGGTTTTGCCTGTATATGTGTTTAGGTATATATGGATTTCTGCGTTTTGTAGGTAAGCTGAGCTGGTGGTGGGGAGTGAGAGGGAAGGAAGAGAGAGGGAGAGAGGTAAAATTTCTAAATACTGGAGTGGGAAACGTTGCTTAAGTAAGCGGATTTTTCCAATTTCTTGATTAGTTCTGGTTTTGCAGAGCTGCTATGTTTACTTTAAATGTTAATTCATACTGCTGCACAGAAATTATGATGTGTATATCAGTAGGAAAAAAGCCTCAATTTCTCTTATTTAGAAGGAGAATTGATGAATAACTGGTTCAGTATTTGAATTTTATTTTCTTCTTTAAATGTAAGCAAAGATTTCAGAAGTTAAAATTACTCATTTCTAGAATTACGCAGAAGTTTACATTAGGTCACATTAGAAATGCATTTTAGCTTGTAAAATAAAGTACCGTTTTCCTGTTTTTTTGGCCTTTTTAAAATAAAAGCTGTATTTGTCCCTAGTGTTATTAACTGATGCAGTTTTGCAGTGAAAAAAAAAAATTACTTGGTAAAACAATATGGTTTAATACAAATAGTAATTTTGATTAAGTTTGAATAATATGATAGTGTTCTACTGTTGGCAAATTCTCTTCATGCAATTTGTTCAAAATATTTTTTTCAAATGCAAATCACTTTCAGTGTATTTATTGATGTAGTATCTTGTATAGTCTGGGTGCAACCATGGTGTAGATTTTACTGCTTAAATAGTTTATCTGTTAGTCAGAGGGTCTGCTGATAGAGATTCTTAAGAGCTATAGTCAAATACTTTTAGGAGGGTTGTGGATGCAGTCCAGTAAACAGGATTCTTCTGTTAAAAGGATTATTTTTTTTAGGTCATTAGTACAAAAAGTGGGCAGATTCACATTTTTAGTTCTATCTTGACTATGCAGCACTTTAATTAAGGTTAACCAATGCACACAGTATACTTCTGCAGGATCACTACTGAATCAGCCCGGTGGCTTCAGTTCATGCCAGAAACAGTCTAGATAACCAAGGTAACACAGTGCAGGTATTTTAACCTTGCACTTATGTGCATTTTCTACAGAGTAAAGAAGTGCTAGTGTTTTCTTATTCCAATCAGTGTATTACGTATTATTTTTATGGGATTCTTCAGTTGTTCTTGTTGGTATGTTAAAATGGTTTCTAAGAACTGTCTTATTATATGTGGTTTATTTTTGTTTTGTTGTCATTCTCCAGTTTGTATGTTCTTCTTAAATCTATGAAAAAATAGAAGATTTCAAACTCTGCAGAAAACTTCATGTGCTACTGTCATTCATAGTTGTTAATTAAATATTTGTTAAGCAAATTGTCCAGAGTTTTTCCTTCTCTAAGAATAATCCTAACACCCTTCTTTCTCCCTCAATCTAAGCACAAAGCAAATATCACAGGACCTAACTGAAGAAAAGGGAAAATGAAGCATTTTGCATTGGAGATGATCAGTATGAATTTCAGTAGTTAGTGAGGTCTTAATTAAGAACCACTTCACCTACATGAACATTCCAACCTTTTTTCCTCAGTTTCTTTTTTTTTCTATTTTTAATGAAGGAAAGTAAATAATTTGTAATAGTAGATTTTTAAGTTAAACAGTCACTGTTAGACCATTTAATTTAACTTCCTGTATTAAAGTTTCAGAGATGATTTCATACAGTTATCCAGATACTAAGCCCAGTGTGCTGTGTATGATTACTACTCTTAGGAGGAAAAATGAAGTTAGAAACTTTTTAAAGCATTTGAACACAAAATTAGGCATCTGAAAATTGTTGAGTTTGAAAGTGATAATATTTATAAAGCTTTTTTTTTTTTTCAAATAGCTGGTATGAATGACATGGTGAATTTTCAGTAGAATACATACGACCAAGTTAGAAGTGGAAAACTGCAGCATGGTGAGCTTTTGAGCATGTTTAGTTTGTTTACCTGCTGAGGATGCGTAGTCATTTCAGACTACGGATTGATCAGTATATCCATGCCAGATGCTTTATGGAAGACTTTCCTGCATTGTTTGCAGTCACGTATGTTGTAAGCTTTAAAATAGTTAGTTAATACATAGTATATGCACTTCAAACAAATATTTTTTTTTTTAATTCTGTGAAATGTTGCCTTTTTTGAACTGGAGTGTTTATGATGCATTTACTAAGCTTCATGTAGAAATTCTTTATCTTTGTATTAGGTAAACCTCAGTGTAGCTTAAAAGTACTATGAATAGACTGTCTCACATTTGTCTTTACGTATTTGAGACCAAAGCAGCAGTTTAGGAAATCTGCGCTTTTAACCAGATTAAAGCAAGTTGCATCATAAAAATATAATGTGGTATATTTAATACCACAAGTAGTGTATAGTCAGTCGTATAGTTCTAATTTGCTGTTTATATTCACTGAGTGCTGGCATATATTTCCATGGAGCACGCTCACTTGCATAACTAATGTGAGTGTCTTAATTATAGATTGATGGCTGAATAGATCACATTGTGTAAGGTTGTTAATAATGTAAGATAGTTGAATTAAGAGTATATCCTTCTTAGCAGCCCAAAATATTGTGGTTTTTTTTTCACTTGACTCTCAATTGTGATGTGGAATTTGTTGCAATTTTTTTTTAAATCCAGGAATAAAATCAATAGGCAGTTCTGATTATTTGTGAGTATGTAGAATCGTTATTAATGTGTAAGTCATGTGAGTTGTATGTTGATTAGAAAAAAATTTTATCAGACTGTATTAGAGTTTGGTGCTTCCAGGTAATCAGTTCAGTTCTGAACAGTTCTCACCATGCAAAATGAGGCAAATTATACTTTAATATGTTTGTATGCATCTGGTGACATATATTGCTGTGTGTGTAAGTTTAGTCTTTGGGTTTCTGAGTTGTTAGCTTGCAGAATATGTATGACTTGTAGGATACTAAATATTCTGTATTTACACTGATTTTTTTTGTTACTTTCTTTTTGAAAAGCTGTTAACAGTTTCAACATAGCTTGGAGACTGTTCAGAGTAGAAAGGGAGAACTATTCTTGGTGTGAATTCTTTAAAGATGAAATTATGTAAATCATGTCCATTTTAGTTGCTTGCTTTGGGGTGGTGGGTGGAGGAAATAATAATGGTTTGCATCCTCAACTTAGGTATGTGTCAGTATTTCCATTTTTTTAATGTCACCTATGTAATTCTTTAAGTGTATAGTACTGAAACCATCACTACCAACATACAGTTACTGTGCAGGTTTTTGCCCGCTTCTAGATTTGTAAAGAAAAATTGGAGGGGGTGGGGAGAGGGACACAGACTATGAAATAATGGGGTTAAGTTGGCATTAATTGGATTACATTTCAAATCCAAGTACCGCACTATAGAACTTTCTCTGTAAAGTTTTACGTGTTTCTTCAGTGAAGTGTGTTATATAATTTCTAGTCAGGAATGTTATACTTTATGCACTTCCAATTATTTTCTGTTAATATTAAATATGGTAATATTTAGCTATGGTTGTACTGCATGTTAATGACTTAGCTGGACACAGGTGACTTTTTTCCAAATGATAGTCATCTTTGGGTTGAAATTTAGTTACTATTTATTGTATATTTGTAAAAAGCTATTGCTGTTGATATGCTAGAGCTGCATTACCTGCCGTGATAATATATCTTTGATTTTGTTTGTGTCTAAATTTTTCCAGGTTACACAGTATCTGTATCATTTTCTTTTTCAGGAAATTTGAATGTTACTCTTCAAGTGTGGGATGTAGGGGGGCAAACGATAGGAGGCAAAATGCTGGATAAATATATTTATGGAGCTCAGGTACAGTATAAGTGATGATAATTGTATAAATAAAAATTATATAAAAGTCATTGAAACTTTATTCTTAAAATTGTACGTATCTTACAAGTTGTTGTTTTGTAGCTCTTAAAAATGTTGAATCTCTGCTTAACATAAACTTAATTGATATTAATGTGCAAGTTAATTTTGGTATGTAGTTAATTTTTTAGAGCTGCTTAAAAAGCAGTGCAAGGGAGTGTGCATTTGTAGATCCGAATAAGTCCCAAGAACAGATGTATGTTTCCATGCTTTGTGTCTTTTGTTAAGGAAAGCAATCATAGTAAATAGTAAAGGCTATTTGGATATCCACGTGGTAGATATAGTGGCTGCTTTTAGAACAGATGCCTCCTGGGGGGAAGAAGTAGAAGGAGGAAATTAAGAGCAATCCTACACCATTAAACTCATACATGCAACTGGGGTTATAAAAGGGCAAACAAAAGGAGGCAACCAGGTAGCTAAATATTTTTGCAGAACTTCTATCCAATGAAAATTAATTTTATCTTGAGGTTAACTAAGCAACTTAAAGTGAATGGTAGGATTAAGTAAGAGCTAAATATTATAACAGTATCTTGAGTTATGAGGTGATTTAGGAGGACGTACTGTACGCCAGACTTCTTAACTGGAGTGAACCTAAAATGTACTCTGTGCTTTAATTTGGAGTTTGTAATGAGAACAGTACGTGTAACGTGTTTTGTTATATAATATTTTATTTATCTGAAAAGACAACAAATGAACTTATTTTTTTTCCCCTAATACTTTAAGCAATAGGAACATGGAGTCCTAAAACTTTTATTGGACAGAAACTTTGAACTAATAAGTACAGCATGGGAGTGGCTAGTTAAGAAGATTAGAACTTAATAAGATAAAGACAAACTTGTCAATCTAACGTTTTGTCACTTTCAAAAAATGTCTAAATGTTTTTAGCTGTTGCATCTGGTTTATAGCATTTCCTTATTTTTTAATAAAAAACATTTTGCTGCCTTGTTAAAGTTAAACCAAGCAACAGGAGAAAGTGGCTTCCATGACAGAGAGAATTTGATTAATCGCAAATTGTTGCCATATGCCCAAAGTAAACTCAATGAAGGAAATAAAAGGCTATTAACTTTTTCCGTATTGAATTTGGTGATAAACTTCTTAGGAGTTTCTTATCAGCAAGCACCAGTGCCCTAAAGTAGAGAAAGAGTTGCTATCAATAAGCCTAAAGTTACAAAAGTTTGATTTTTGTCATTCTGAGCACATGAACAAAAGAACTCTACATCCAAGCTCTTCTCCTTCAGTTCTCCCCCAACCCTCATTGTAACCGTAATTTTTTTAATGAACTAGTGGCTGTTCTCTCCCATTGTTGGCATGTATTGTCAATGTCTGTAAAGGCTTCTTATCATCACAGCTGACTTGTAACACACTTTTCTATTAGCTTTGTAGAAGCACCTGTTCAAGACACATAAAACTATCTTTATTGTCATCTATTCATGAAACACCATGGACAAGTCAGAAAGGCACTGCTTTCAGCTTGTTCCTAGGCAGAAGCTTATTTCATGTTTAACATCTGTAACTTCATAGAAGAAAAAGAGGAAAGATAAGATAGAACAGGTAGGAGTATTTAGAAAGAAAAATCCTTCTAAATGTATATAAAGATTCCTGTGAATGGACAGCAAAGTGGCAAGAAAGTAATTGGGAAGAGCTAGCATGGAAGTAGCAAGGGTAAATTGTGCCCAGCCAACTTGATTGCCTTCTGTGGTTAGATGATTGGCTATGTGGGGAGGAGAGCAGTGAATACCATTTACCTTGACATCGGCAAGGCTTGTGACATAATCTCCCATAATATTATTACAGACAAAACTGTAGAGATACAGATTGGACAGGTGGACCATAAGGTGACTGAAAAACTGAATGGACAGCTGGACTTAAAGGGAGGTCTGGCCCATAGCTCAGTGTCTTACTGGTGCCTGATTATAAGTTGTATTCCTTAGGCGTTGGCCATATCTTTTATTAATTCTTTGAATAATGAAACAAAACATTCTAAGTTTGCAAATGACAACAGAATGGGGAAGAATGGTCAATATGCTGGAGGATAGGGGTGCTATTGAGAGAGACTTACTAACTGAAGGAATGGACTAACAGAAACCTTGTGAAGTTCATTGAAGACAAATGCGAAGTCCTACACCTGGGACAGAATAACCTTATGCAGACTGGGAATCAATTGCTGAGGAATCATCTAGAGCTGATTAATGGACTGGAGCATCTCTCCTATATGAGGAAAGTCTGAGAGAACTTGGACTGTTCAACCTGGAGAAGAGAAGGCTCAGGAGGATCTTATCAATGTATATAAATACCTGAAGAGAGTGTGCGAAGAAGATGGAGCCAGGATCTTTTCAGTGGTGCCCAGTGACAAGATAAGAGGCAACAGGCACAAACTGAAACACAGGAGGTTCCCTCTGAACATCAGGAAACACTTTTTTATTGTGAGGGTAACCAAGGACTCGCGCAGGTTGCCCAGAGAAGTTGTAGAGCCTCCATCCTCAGAGATGCTCCGAAGCCATCTGGACATGGTCTTGGGCATCTGGTTTTGAGTGACACTGCTTGAACAGGGGCATTGGACCAAACAACCTCTAGAGGTCCCTTCCAACTTCAGTCGTTCTGTGAGATGGCTTTGGAGAAAAGGCAGGGGATCTGCTGGAAAGAAAACAGTTAAATGGGAGTCAGCAGTGCACCATTGCAACAGTAAAAGCTACCTGAATACTGGGCTGCATTAGTAAGAATGAAGTAGGCAAATCTCAGAAAGTGATTATCAGCCACTCTGACGTTTTTGAGGCTACCTTTGGAGTATTGTGTTCGGTTTTGGGATCCCCAGCACAAGAAAGCCTTTAAAATATTGGAGTAACTCTAGTGATGGTTGCTACAAAAGAAGTACGTGTACTTATGGTGTGTTGCACTTGGTCAGCATGTGTGGTGCAACTGGGATTTTAAACATCTTGTTTGTAAAGTACACAAGCTGTGCTCGTACACATAGAGTAGAAGATTTGGATCTGTTGCATAAATTGTGTTCATCTGCCTGTGTTCTCCAAACCTAAATAATTCAGATTTAAAGTACGTGTGTAGAATAGCTTGTGGCATGCCTACAGTACGCATCATGCTTTTATCCAGTATTTGCAGATGCCCATAACCTTGTATAGTCTTCATCTGCGTGATCATCCTGAGATCTGGAAATCACAAGGGCTGAATTATTGGTTTTCTGCTCAGAAATCCAAATGTGTGATAGACCTAGTATAAAATACTATGACCAGCTGGAAATGGAAGTTTTGAAATTCTACAGCAACTGAAAGGGTTATCTGCACTCTACAGTTCACTTGATTTCCGTTGAAATTTGATGAGGATACCAGGAGGAGTAAGTGGAGCATCCATCTGTACTTTGCTGCAAACCTTGCTACTGGAGGTTTCCTTCTCTTTGAGTGAGAGCTGAATCAATTCTTTAGGCTAGATCTTTTGGTTAAGTTACTGTTAAGGTGTCATTTTCTTGACCGAGATCCCTCATTTATTGTGCCTTGCTTTAAAATAAGAGTGCCAGATAGGAGGATGAGAACCTTCTTAATTTGCTTGCATGGTTGCAGTTGGAGAAATTGCAATTCACTTGCTGTCTTGAAGCAGTGGCTTTCCCCCCCGTCCATGTTTTTTCTCTGCTGTTGCTCATCCAGAACAATACAGTTGCTACATCCCATCTTGGTAGCTGAATTTTACTGGTGGGTCAGAACAACTGACCCATCAAAGGTGCAAACAGACAGCTTTCTGTCAGTGTTGATTAAAACAGAGATCTCAGAATTGAGAGTGGCAAAGAGTAATCATATAGTCAGTTACCACAGCTGAACTGATAGACAGTAGTTCATTCAGTTATGGCGACTCAACGTGTGTATTTGAGTGGCCATATCTTCAGTATCAGCAAAGACAACAGTGGTTAAGTGTATGTAGACTGTAAACTGTTTTCACTTGTAAAAATAGCATTTCTGCAGACGTGCAAAATACCATAATGAAGTTACTCTTTGCTAAAATGAATATTCTGTGACTAGAAAAAACACTTAGAATTTTGGTCTGACATATTTCATGAGTATTAATTAAATTTGAAAATTTATTTAGTTCCTTCATACTAAAGTCAGTCATAGGATAAGGGCAGCTGAGGATAAACCTGAAGAAGAAAACATTGTTTTAATTAGTGTTTTCTGTAGCTTTCTTTTATTGTGACAAATCTTGACACCTTTTAAATGTTCATTGTCTAATGTGAATATATTGGCTGGTTACAACACTTCTATGATAGCAGTTCTGCTGTATAATAGCACTGCTGCTGTTTGCATGATAAATATTTCAGAACCACTCCCATCTCTTACCTGTAATTGCTGTCCCTACCCACATATCAAGTTTAAAGTATCCCTAAGAGCTGGCATACACTACCTCATAAATTGGCTTGTTAATAGAATAAGAGTACTGCAGACTCTACCTTCTCCAGAGACCAGCAAATAATTTCTGCAGTATTCTCAGTTTCCAGTGACCTATTTTTGAAAATACTCTATAATTCCAAAACAAAAAGCACTCACATATGCACTAATGTAGGCAAAATGTCTCTCTTACTAGAGTGCAATTATGCAAGCAGGGACTATTTGCCACGTTGCTGGAGACTAGAGAATTAACGTGCTGTTCTTGGCATGTTGTCTGCCATGTGTTTCAAACCTTTTTCATGGCAGGGAAATGCACTACTTTTGTGTAAAAAGGCTAGTGTTAATTTTCCACCTTAATTCCTCATGCATAATAGGGAAGCAACAGCTTTTATACTGTTTACTCATTCTGTACTCCATATACTGCAAGTTTGTGGAAAGTATGTTTATTTTTGTGAAAGCAATGATGGAGTTTCTACGTTGAATAAAAAAAGGTGAAATAAATTTTAGCTATGAAATTATGACTAGTCCTTCATTAATTATCTATATAATACTAGGTTGCTTATATAGTGCTGTTGTGGCAAAAATTTAAGCAAGAAGTATTCTTTATGACCTGGATGCTGTGCTGCCTTTTTTGCATCTCTGAGATGTCATACCTGCCATCTTTGTTTTTTCAGTATAGCAATACTGACAAGATTCAAAAAAAGAATGGTGAAGAAAAGAGTATGCTTTAGAGGCAGTGTTTTAGATCATGGAGAAAGGGACCAAAAGGAAGTTATGTGAGCTAGCTGTGAACTTTGTTCGATGATTTCTTTCATGGTAAATCCACTGTGAATACTCTTTCTCCCAAAGGTGTAGGTAGGCTGCAGTTGGCTATAGGACATGTAGCAGAGTAGTATTTTGGTGAAGAATTAGTTAGAAACAGAGTTGGCCAACCTTGAATGCTCAGATTCTATTAACTTTATCTTACATCTAACTCTGACTAAACTCTTCAGTGATGAAGATGGTTTAGATAGTCAGCTCTGCCTTTCTGCAGGGTGGTGAGAGAACTTGACTGCTGGTGAAAGAAGTCTACCATGTGCTGTTTCTCATTTACAGCTTTCGGCCTTATGTCTGGGGTTTTTTTAGGCTTTACAGTACCTGTCCTTCAGCTGGAGTTTCTTCTTTTCCACTGCATTTAATAACATCAGTATGTCCCTCCTAGAACAAGGCTTGTATTATGAAAGACAAATATACACATGCACAGGCATTTGAGTAGTTATAAAAGGAGTCAGGAGAAATTAACTGAGATGTGAGATATTAAGGAATAAATTGTACGAAAGTTGGAAGAGGGAAGCGAATGTTTAATATTCGATTTGATTAGTAGAGTAAAGGAGGAAAGATAGCAAGGGAGAAGGTGGGTGTCATAATTCTTAATTTCCTTGAAGGATCTGGTGAAAGCTGTTCCTCAGAAGTTAATAGCAGCCGTATAAATGTAAGGAACAGGAACTCATGTTGCCAAGAAGTTGATGGCACTGAACGAAAAGAGGTAGATTTGTATTGCTGTCATAGTGAAATAAGAATTGAAGAGATCTCAGTAGGATCTGTTGCCCTCCTCCAGAGCGGTACTGTATAATGTCTATTTCATTTTTCTCAACCTTCAAAAATCCTCCAGTGTTAGTGACTCTGCTATCCCTGAAGGCAGTGTGTTTCAGAGCTTTGCTATTCTTATTGTCTAAATGTGGTGGTGTGGTGTGGTTTTTGTTTTTTTTTTTTTTCCTAGTATGTACCCTTGCTATAATCTTGCTGTAAGTTAAACCTATTGCTACATGTTGTACTGATCACAGAATTGTAAGAAAGTTCAGGATGGAAGGGATCTCAGGAGGTCTCTAGTCAAACCTGCTGCTCAAACTAGGGTCAGCTGTGAGATGGAACTAGGTTGCTCAAGGCTTTATCCAGTTCCTCCTTGTAAACCTCTAAGGATAGAGACTGAGCAACCTGTTTGGGCCACCTGTTCCACAGCTTGATTCTCCTCATGGTGAAAAAGCTTTTCCTTATATCTAGTTTGAGTTTCTCTTGTCTCAGCTTATGTGCATTGTGTTTCATCTTGCCATGTGCTACTGTTAAGAGCCTGGCTTCATCTCCTTCGTAGCTTCCTCATGGGTATGGGAAGGCTGCTTTTAGGTCCTCACAGGTCCACCTCCTCTCCATGCTGAAGAATTCTGGTTCCCTGATCTTTTCCTTACAGGACAGGTGGTCCAGCCTCTGATCATCTTGGTGGCCCTCTGCTGAACTTATTCCACCTTACTGATGTCTTGAGGGGCCTAAGACTGGGTATATTACTTTAGATAAGATCTAACAAGTGCTGAGTAGGACGAAATAGATCCCTTGGTCTAGTGGCTGTGCTTCTGCTAATACAGCCCTGGCCATCCTTGCTGACAGGGAACATTGCTGGCTGATATTTGGCTTGCTGTCTACAAAGACCTGCAGGTCATTTTCAGTTGCTCTCCAGCCAGTCAGTCCCCCCAGCCTGTATTTTTTATTCCTCCCCAGCTGCAGGGCTTTGCACTTGTCCTTGTTGAATGCTGAAAGGTTCATGTTCTCCCATTCCTTGAGCGTGTCTACATACCTCTGAATGGTAGCCCTGCTGCTCTCAGGGGTATTGGCTGGTTTTCCCAATTTGGTGTCATCTGCAAACTATGTATAAGATTATATAAAAAGAGAATTCCTGTTATCTTCTCCTGAAACTTTACTAGCATTGTCCTGCCTGCCATCAGTCTTGTGTTTGCTGAAACAGTCCATTTTTTTCAGTTTTCCGAATCAGTTGTGGCTTCTAAACCTCTGATGTCATTACTGGTCTTTTAGTTTGCCCTTCTCTTGACATTCAGCGTCCAAAGCTGGACGCGTTATTTAACGTGGAATGTTTCATGCCAGTGTGATATTTGCCTTTTTGCTACAAAATAAGCTTGACATATTCAACTGTGATCTACTATAACTCCTTGATCCTATTGTATAGAACCTGCTACAAAGCCAGATATTTCCTATTGTGCATTTGATTATTGCTTCCTTTGAACTTGTCTTGGTACTTACTGAATTGCATCCTATTATTTTTAGATTGTTTCTCATCATATAATCTAAACTCTCCTCAAATAATCTTGCAGTCTCTACCACTTCTTTGTCATCTGTGAAATTAATTTAATAAGTGTGCACTCTATTTTGTGATCTGAGACAGTCGTGAAACTGTCAAGTAAATCTGGGCCCAGACAAATGCCTGAAAAAACTTGACTTGAAAAATTTTTTCTATTGACAATGAGTCGTTGAACCAGCTAATTTTGTATGCATTGTATTGTTTTTTTTGAATATTTGTGAAAATTTCATGTGAGGAACAGCATGCAGTTGCAGGGATTTTTTTTTCCACGTGTGTACTCCACGAGAACAAGTGCAACAGAAGCCAATTCTGACTTTACTCCTCATTTACAATACACTTTATTAGGGTATAGTGGAACGCAAGGGCAGAAGACTCAATAGTTGAGAGGAGAGAGTGATTTGTGAGAGCTGATCTTAGAATTATGGAGGGCTGAAGGTGGACATTTGGGCTGTGAACAGGCTGTGCTTTATAATACTGGATTTTAGCTCTGAAGAATCCTCAGTAATGCCTGCTTTGGGTATTTGTTACTTGTAGGCTGGCCCAAAACCTCTGAAATACATGGGACTCCCTTCTTGACTTCTGACCACATCTTTAGTTTCTCCTTTGAAAGCTTAAAGCTTGCCAGTACTTCTTGCTTTTCTCCTACAGAAGTGAAGGATCTGTCCTTTCTCCCTAAAGGAGAGCAGAGATATGACAGTCAGACAATGTACAGGAATGTACGAGTGAACTGCTTTTATTTTTCATTTTTTTCAAAAAGGGAACAATGAAACTGCAAATAATATTAACGAAAATAAAAGTCCTTCTCCAGTGTGATTTTTATCTTACTTTTAGTGTGAAGTGCTTTTTGGGGTTTTCATACAGCAAATGAAGTTTGTAATATTTCTAGTACAACTAATTACGCTCTTTACTGAATTGCCATTTTTTTTTCTGCCCTTGTAGTTCAATTAGCATCTAAATTTGGAACACATGGAATGCAGGAGAAATACTGTAATTGAATGTGTTTATTACAGAAACTTACAATTCCTTTAATTATTCCTCAAAAGATACAATGCCATTATTTGTTAATGCGCTATTTTATGTTAATGCTAGACTGATGCAAATTTTACTATGTTAAACTGTAGCATTTTAAATGTATCTTTTTATTTAGGGTATTCTCTTGGTTTATGATATTACCAATGGCCAGAGTTTTGAAAATTTAGAAGACTGGTATAATGTGGTAAAAAAAGTGAATGAAGAATCAGAAACACAGCCACTTGTGGCCTTGGTTGGAAATAAAGGTAAGTTATTCATACTTAAATATTAATTGAAATACTCTGGATGTGCTCTCTATTGAAGAAATGACACAGGACATATCTTTAGTAAAATGAAACTAAGTACTGTCTCATGTGTTGTTGCTGTGTACAGATGACATATTTGGGTGTACCTCAGGATTCTGGGCAGCTAGGTTGAGAGACTTGCTGCATCATGTTTTGCCTAGCCTGCAGCCTCACTGCCTGTGTGCTCTTTACTTGGAGAGCAGCACACAGGAGCAGAGAGGTCTCACCCATGTTTGAATTTGATAGGGCTGCAGGATTTAGCCATGGCATGCATCTAGAACGGAGAACTGGGAAGCATTCCTGGATCTAATGACAGGTATATTCCATGGTTCTGTATGTCAAGAGACTGCTAAATTAAGTACCAGTATATATTATTTAAAATAACTACACTGTACACTAGGTATAGTATTTATGAGTTGCTTATTAGGCTTTTCTTGCATGCTATCTGTAGTTTTGCACATGAGGTTACTCATGTCCTGTTGTTTTGGGATTCTTTTAACCTGTCCTCCTTTTGATCCTGTAAGCATGATATAACAGTTTTCTTCTGATCACCAAAATATGCCACTTTAAATAACCGTCACCTGGTTAGTTTCCTAATTAGATGGATTCCAGATTTCCCCATTTCCAGCTAAGAAATCTTATAGAAGCATCCTTATTAGCATATTTGAGGTCTTGATCCTGGCTCTCTTACCTATTTCCTATTGAAGATGATAAAAGCAACATAAAACTTTTAGAAACAAAGTGGTAGAAGCAGATACATAATTTTAAAATAATGTGAATATATTTATTTGAACAACAAAAACCAGATTTGATTTTTTTTACTTTCCAGGTAATTTGTGTCCGTATCACAATGTCCCTATTATGAACAAACCTGTAAAAAAGACGTCATCCAGCAAGTCAATATTGTTTAAAAACATTTGAAAACAATGTAGAGACAACACTTTCCTTCAGAAACATTAACTGTAGTGTTGCTACTGTGATGCTGTAACATTTTATGATATTAATAATGAAAGACTACTTATTTTCTGGGAAGAAAACAGAGAAGCTCTTAGAGTTACAATATATAAATAGCACTTCTGAAAGTATAACATAGACAGTGTTGTACTCTAGCAGACCAGAGTCAATAATACAGATTCTGTTGAAAATAAAATGAAAAATATTTTTCACTGATTTATATTTTGCCCCCAGATTGGACTTCCTAGCTGGAGTTCTGCAAATTGTATGAAGTATTTACAGTAAGATACACTGTAACATAGGATAAAGTTCTTTTGCCAGAATGACACCATAGAGGTAGAAAATCATACACTGGTTTCCATTTGAAGGAGTTTTATTTCTGATATATACCTTACGTGTATGTATTTTTCTCGTATAAATGCCTGCAATTCTTTAAAATCCAAGTATTTCCTAGGGAGCATTGGCAAATAGAATATGGTTTCATAGATGAGTTTCCAGATAAAGGAAACGCTGACTAGCAAAAGGGCTTTCATCTTATGAAAATAGCAGCTGAAGGAACAGTGTGCTTGCTACCTTGTTTTCCTTCAGAAGCTGTGTGTAAAGAACAAAAGCAAACTGTTGCTTTCAAGTTGTCCTAAGCGTGTTAGTTGTTGCATATGTTGAGCAGGCAGGGGATGCTATTTGAAGAGGTAATTTTTTTGCTTTATTTTTATTTCAGCATGATAAAAAATAAGCTTTTAGAAGTGTCATGCTTTTCTGAATTCTGTAATAGGAGAAGAATATCTAAGAGGGCTTCCACCCCAAGACTTTAATAGCCTGAGAGGGGTAACTGTAGTCAGGCTTCTGTTGTTACATGAATAGAAAACAAGGGAAGTCTTTGTGTAGAAGCATGGTGTTGACTCTTGCTTATTCTGAAAGGACAAAGCTACCAGTCCTAACAAGTTCTTCAGGTGAAATCACTGTGTTCAGGATAGCTCAACTTCTTTGCTCAGTAAGCAATAAGACACTGATACATAATACAAAAGCAATAATAGGTTTAAACCCCAGAAAAGCCATTTGATGAATTGATGAACTTATTTGACTCACGTATCATACAGGAGAAATACTTTCAGCCAGTAGTTTCTGTCTCAGCATTGTACTTGGTTTTTGGGCTATACATGTTTTTTAGGAAAATATCCAGGTATGTTCACCTGAAGACTAGAAACGTCTGTATCAACGGGCAAGTTATTCTAACACTTAACTTTCTTTTTGATAAAAAATTTTAAAAATTGCTAAGAATGCAGTTATTGTCATTCATAGCAACTGAAAAGCATTGGGTCAGTATTTAGATACTGACATAAGAATTTGGAAGCCCATCTGAAACCATCCATTTTGAAACCTTGGTTTAAATTTGGTGCTACTCGTTTAAGTATACTTAGCTTGGGCTTAGGCTCTCATTTGACCGTTTTTGCTGACTAATACTGTCTGAAAGAAGAGCGTATTTTTCCATTTTGGGGTAAATACACCTGGGATCTCTGCTGTAGTGCTTCAGAAAGAGGAATAAAGCTATAGTTTTTAAAAAAAAAACAACTTGTAAGAAAACAATGAAAACAAATTTTCTTCACAATGCAATATAGAAAACTGTACATGTGAATTCTATTAGATGAAAATAATTTCCTTAAGTATTTTTGTCATTGAAAGCAGATTACTTTGGTATAGCAGTATATTGTGTACTAGCTGTTGAATTATCTATAAAACTGCATGATTTATTAGTGGATTTTTGTATCAGTTTGTAGTCATTCTGTTAAATGTGTTAAGTTTCCAGTAATTTCTTCAGTTTTCCACCAAACTTGAAGAAATTGTTCAGTGCTGATTTAAGTAAATCAGTGCTAGTTTTGACTATTTTATTGGACATTGCAGAAGATTGGAAGCATGAACACATTAAGCTACTGTGTCTGTTTAAAGCATGATAATTAACTTCAGAGTGGTAACAGTTTATTAAAATGTCATGATTGTAAGAGATTAAGATTTACTCATGAAACATTGGAAAGGTGATTTCTACATACAAAGCTCCAATCAGTGTCCAGTTTCTCATCCATCAGAAATTTATTTGAAAATAATAGAGTAGTATGAACTGAGATCTTATAAATTCTGGACCTTTGCACCCCTCTTTTTTATTTTTTTTTTTTCACCCCGCTTTTTTTCTTTTTTTTCTTCAGGACTAGATAAAATGAAGGAATGACATTGCCCACTAGTTTATTAAAAATAATTGGGAGAAAAAGTGCTTCAGAGATGCAGTCCTCTTTTGTGAAAGCAGTATTTTATTTAAGGTGACTGTCTTCCTCCTGGGTGCATTGTTTTATTTTTCATTCTTTCTTCCTTCCCATACATTTTTTTTCTATAACTGGAGCTACACATTTAGTCAGAGTAGAAAACTGATTCGAGTCATGATACTCTCCAGACTTATGTCCTGCACTTATGTCTGATTATCAGTTAATTCTCTGTCTTTCCATAGATTTTTGTCTGTGTGTTTGGTAAACAACAAAAGGAATTGTAAAATTTAATGTAGCGTTTTTGTTTTTCGTACTAGTTTTAAGTCATAAAATCTTCATAATCCCCAAATTTACAGCTGGTATTGAATCTTAAATTCAACTTTCCTTGTAGCTTCCTTTGTGGTGTTTTAATCTTATTTAATGCAAAGTATATTTGACGTGTGCTTACTTCTGCGTTGCTAATAGCACATTTGCACCAGACATCAGGGAGTAAACCTTATTGTTAAGATTGGCAAATACTTTTGAGTTTCAATGCAGTAACTTAAAACTTTTATAGCTATGTTGCTGTCAAATACTTTGTGTTACATTGTGTAGTATAAATTAAACTATAGTTATCAAGTGAATGAATTGTTTTTTGTGCACTTAGGATCTTTGCTTAAATTTGGTATTGACAAACCTCAGTAATTGCAATGGATCTTCTGTCGTTAGTGTGAGTTAGAGAGCTTTTACAGTGTTTTGTATCACTGATGTGTTTCTTTCCTTTCTACCTTGACTATTTTATATATTTTCCTTGACACTAATTTATAAGCAGTCTCCTCAAGTGTCGTACCAACATTTTCAGTGGATATGCTGTAAACAAAAATTAACCCAGCTTGCATGGGAGCTACACTCACTTTGATTTATAGCTACCAAGATGGTCTTAGGGTGGTGGTTATCTGTAGCGTATATAGGGGGTAGGAATTATCGGGTACCAGCGTATAGTGGATGGATGAATGATTTCTGTTCTTAGAGATATTAACCAGATCCACTCTTCAATAACTAATAACTCAGATTTTTAAACAGTCTTCATGACAGATGAGGGCACAGAGGAGAATGCATCAAGACTAATTAAGAATGTTGACCGTTTGTTCGTCTTAGCCATGATTAATTGATCTTGGAGTGCTATCTGTGAACAGGAAGTGGTATGCTGTTACATTGCGAAGTTTAAAGGTTACGTCTTAGTGTACCCTTTAACTTGCATTTACATACAATGTAAAATGTTTTTACCTATCTTATCTGAGCACAGAAAGAAACATTTTCCAGCCAAGATATGAATGAATGTTTGGTGTACTGTGTACTAATGTGAATCTGGCTGTTAACAGGACATACCCAGTTGCTTTTGGACTCTGTTGCTGCCTTATATACTTAGTCTTCCCTGTTGTACTCAGAAAATTTCTTCATTAATACTCATTTTGAGATTCTGCCTTATTAAAATTCAGAACTGTGCATTCATTCTCTTGTCCCTCCCAACCTCCCCCAGATGTTTTCTGTTCTTGTTTCCTGTGGGCTTGCACTTGTTAGGTCCTTCACCTGCAATTAAGACAAGTGTTGCGCAGCAAATGCAAAGACCTGTCTTCTTTTGAGTCTTATGCCTGATTAAACTAAAGTTCCTGTATACCTCACAGCAGGTCTAGTCACCTGAGCCTCACACATGCTTCTGGGATTAGAGGGTAAACTACTTACATGTAGAGACTCCCTTAAAAAGAAAACCTTGTC